TCTTGGAGTATTCGAGAGAAAGATTTTGCGGAAGTTTTACGGGCCTTTACGCGTTGGCGACGACGAGTACCGCAGACGATGGAACGATGAGCTGTATGAGCTTTACAACGACATGGACATGGTGCAGCGAATTAAAACACAGCGGCTCCGCTGGCTTGGCCATGTCGTTCGAACGGACACCGACGCTCCAGCTCTGAAAGTATTCAACTCGGAACCCACTGGCGGTAGCAGAGGTATAAAGCTTTCGTCTGGTTATTTAAGACGGCAATGGAGGATATGCCTTCTGTCGACCACAAAACCAAACGTGAACGTGAATTGCTGGCGAAAACGTTGGACCAAATGTTTCAATAAAAAAAATAATTTTGGGCGAGACGAAGTTCGCCGGGTCTGCTAGTCTATACTATTATATAAAATTGATTATATGGAGTACGTTTGTAACGATTTATTTCTCAAAGTACTAAACCGATTTTAATATTTTTTTTTTAAAACGAAGCATTTGTAAAAAGACGCAGAGTGGCATACTTATATTTTTTATTCTTGGAAGATAAGCACCCTTTTTTTGGGTGTAAAGTTACAAAAAATTACAAAGCCGTACAAGCACAAGCCTATTTGGTTGCCAAGTACAGCGCATAGCTACGCGAAAACCCTGTACATCAGTGCCCATCAAACACGAGCTCGCAAAGGCAAAAGAGATGTGTATGAGCGACGTTACTGCGCTATACCACATTCATACACACATAAACGTATTTGAGCTAAACAGCGATCACTGATTGAACATGCTAAATACATACATATGTATGTGTGTACGCATTTATAACCGAAAGACAAAGCATCGCTTCGAAGCAGTGTTGCCACAACACTTTTTTATTTTTACCAAAATCACCAGTAAAAGTTACCAAATTCAACAAAAAATTACCAAACTATTTTTATGTGGAGAACTGTGCACAGATATGTTTGTACATACATATATCCGAAGACACCAAGCTTTTCAGACAACCAGCGCTTCATTCAGCTATAATTTTTATATATGCGTGAACGCTAAAAGTCACAACAACAGAAACGCTTGGTGAGGATTTCAAACCTAAGTGTGGACAAAGACACAAATTTGTCGATTGCGCGTTGCTTTAAGAACATATGTATACTTTGCATTTGAATATACATCTCCATCAATACAAAGCTCAGGCCACAAAGCAACTGAAGCCATGTGATCATTACCTTTGTCATGGGTACGGTTCATTGCAACAGAGGATTATTAGGCGCATCATTTCCCATAGAGAGGATGTCATTTTGCCATTGAAATCATCCGACTTGGCACCATTGGAATTTTTTAGAAAGGCGCATTTATGCGAATAAACCTAAAATTTTGGAGCATTTTAAAATCAAAATTTGTCTATATATAACAATAAATATCTTAAAAATTCAACGCTTCAAGGCAGTTCTGAAAACTTTCGACTGACGCAAAGACAAATTGAAGTCCC